CGTCCAGACGGTGCGTGCCATAACCAGTTTAGTGGGCTGGTTGCATCCTTCTTTCAAATTGGCCTGGATCCTGGACTACGTTGAAAATAATCTAAGACAGGAACTGGATTTTGTTAATGAGGCCAAAAATTCTGAAAAATGTGCCAAAGATTTGAAACATTTGAAATATGTTTATGTACCAGAAGTTTTATGGGAGTTCACAAACACAGTAAGATAAAAAAAACTTTATTAAATTATATATATTACCAAGTTCAAGCAACTTGCCTTAAGACTAAATGCCACTTACACCTAGTTAATACTCTTTTCATTCATCTTTGATAGTTCTTTGATATCTTATATATTAGTTTTTTTTCTCACAGAGAGTTCTTACAACTGAATTCATAGATGGCGTAAAAGTCAGCAACAAGGAAGAGTTGCTAAAACAAGGATTAAATTTGGCAGATGTTGATAGAAAGTTGATAACTGCCTTTTCTGAACAAATATTCAATACGGGATTCGTCCATGCTGATCCACATCCAGGAAATGGTAACGTACCTATTATAATACCTTAAGACAACTGCGCAGCCTCAAGAAGTTTCACTTCAAAAATTTAAGTTTATTTTTTTACCGCTTGTGTGGTATCGTTTGAAAGATCTCGTCGAGAAGAATTTGAATTGTGTTACAATTTTAATTTTGTTGTAAAGTGTTTGAGTTGGGTCTAAAGAAGTTTTACTTCAAAAATGTTATGTTATATCTTTTACCGCTTGTGTGGTATCGTTTGAAAGGTCTCGAGGAGTAGAATTTGAATTGTGTAACAATTTTAATTTACTGTAAAGTGTTGCGGCATTCTATAAATTTGAGTCTGAAGAAGTTTTACTTCAAAAATTTTGTTATATCGCTTTCTGTTTGTGCGGTATCGTTCAAAAGGTCTCGAGGAGTAGAATTTGAATTGTGTAACAGATTTTAATTTGTTGCAAAGTGTCCCAGCTTTTTTAGGTCTAAAGAAGTTTTACTTCAAAATTTTTGTTATGTCCTGTACCGCTAGTGTGGTATCGTTTGAAAGGTCTCGACGAGTAAAATTCGAATTGTGCAACAATTTTAATTTGTTGTAAAGTGCCCCGGCTTTTAATTTTAAAGTTGAGTCTAAAGAAGTTTTACTTCAAAAAATTTAGATTGTGTTTTTATGGCTTGTGGGGTATCATTTGAATGGTATTTTTGAATAGAGTACGATTACTGGAATTAAAATTTGACTTTTGCAAAAAAAATTCACAAAATTATTATTTAAAAAAACAATAATTTATAACACTATCAGCAAACTATAAATTAAACACTATAATAAGCAAAAATAAGAATAAGTATAAATACTAAAATTAACTAAAAAAAAAATTAGAATATTTCTGAAATAAACATTTTTGATGCACTTTTAGTAAAAGAAAGAACCTAAAGAAGTTTTACTTAAAAAATTAAAGATAGTGTTTGTGGCATGTGGGGTATCATTTGAAAGGTATTTTTTGAATAGAATACGATTATGGAAATAAATCTTGAATTCTGCAAATTTTCTGGGCAAAATTAAATAAATAGCAATAGTTTATAGTACTATATATAGACTATATATTAATATAGTACTATATAAGACTCTACAGCAAATTATATATCAAATACTATAATAAAAATAAATATAAATACTGAAATTAACTTAAAAAACAAGAATTTTTGAAAAATATACATTTTTGATGCATTTTTAGTAAAAGAACCTAAAGAAGTTTTACTTCAAAAAATTTAGATTGTGTTTTTATGGCATGTGGGGTATCATTTGATAGGTATTTTTGAATAGAATGCCAATACTGGAATTAAATTATAAATCTCATGAATTTACTGGACATAATTAAATAAACAGTAAAAATTTATAACTTTATAAGGCTCTACAGCCCTAAATACTAAAATAAGCATAAATAAGAATATATAAATAATAATACATAAATAAGCATAAATAAAAATAAGAATGAATATATACTTTTATTGCTTAGGTGCATTTTTTAAAACTTTAGCAAACTAACCCAAAGAAGTTTTACTTCAAAAACTTTAGCTAATACTTTTATGTCATGTGGGATATCATTTGAAAGCTCTCGATGATCAGAATACAAATACAAAAAAAAAATTCAAATTTACACCTACACTTAATACTCACACCTAATTTTTATTACCTTTCAGTTCTTGTACGTAAGTCCAAATCTGATGGAAGTGCTGAGATAGTTCTCCTGGACCACGGTTTATACGAAAGTGTACCTCAGGCAGTAAGAAGTGCTTTGTGTGATTTCTGGGAAGGAATTGTGTCGAAGGATTATGATAAAATGCAGAAGCATGCTAACGAGCTACATGTATCTGGTATAATAGATAATAGATACAAATTGTAAAAGATATATTTGTATATATATGTATATGTATATATACATATATATATATACTAGCTGACCCGGCAAACGTTGTTTTGCTAAGTAAGGTATATTCTAAACAATTTCTAGAGAATCAAAAATATTAATACTTTAAGTGTATAAGGATATGTTGCTTGAATGCTATATACAATGAAGTATTATAAGAACAATAAACCCCATTAGTTTGTCTATATTTTATCAATACAATCAAACTGGAAGTTTTATACACTTTCTATAGAAAACATGGCATAATCCAATCCAAGTCATTTTTGGTCTTTCGACATATTGATTACGTTTCAAGTTTTTCAGATTCTTTTTGATTCAGGATTTTGTGTATAATTGTAAATAATACTACTGAGCTTATACAAAATTTTCAAATTTCTGCGAGGAGAGAGAAAATGAATTAGGTATTTCTTCTTTAACCTGCTTTTTGAAAAGTTTCAAGTAACATTCGATGAATTGAAGTAAATTTAATAAAAAGTATAAAGTAGAGCAGGGCGAGGCACAAAGGTTCAATTTGACTTTGAGCATATATAAACTATATTATGAAAAGCAAACCAATCATATCACAAATAACCCATTTCAAACGAACAATTATTTGACTACGTTCAGTAAAACTGCCAGTTACTTCATCATTGTAGAAATGTGCTTATTTTTGCTGTCTTTCAAAAAATTGTTATCTAGACCTTTTTACCCCATTTACCCTAACTTGGAACGGCCAGGTGGCAAACAGGTTGAATGTCTTATTTTAATTTTATGAGTATTTTACAAAATAATTACACTTTTAACTAATGCTAAAAAAAACTGCCAACGAAAGAAAATACTTTTATTATGAATTTTCAAAGATTACAGTTTATCTCCAGATAGCAAAGTCATGAGAATCAAGGTTACAGCTGCTTATACATTTTTTCCCTCTAATTTTCAATTCCTTAAACGATGCTTAACTTTACTGGTTTTTGACACATCGCTGGTGAACCTTTTTAACCCCGCATCTTCATATATTACTATCTATTCTTCGATAAATTCTATGAAATTATAACTGGAAAATGTTATTCGGCAAAATGTCCCTTTGATCGATACCAAATTTAGGTTTTGAATTTAAATAACTTAAATAAAAAATAATATAACCTAGAAAATGTTTTATAAATACTAATAAGTATATAATTATACAAATGAGATCTATCAGAGCACGGTGTTTGAGAATAATATGCCAAAAAGTGCATTTTCATATTAACATTTCAAAAAAGTTGATATTTAGTTTCTAGTAACACTTGCGGCCCGTTTACTAACGTTTTTATATATAAATAAAACTGCAAACCAAACTATTTACTACAATTTATTCATAATTAAATAATATTCACGTAAAATATCCTATTAAATGTAATTGAAAATCATCTGTCAAAATCGTATGACATTTCACGTGTTAGCGACCGTCCATTGTTTGATTCAAATTACGCTTCTATAAAAATTTTCAAATTCAAGATGTAAAGTTTCTACGCAATTTTGAAATAATATCTCACCTTTTGGACCATCTCTGGATTGGCACGGATTTTTTAAGACTAAGACTGGCCAAATCTAATCAGCCGTTTTCGAGTTTTATTCGGACATTTGAAAGAGCGCTCCATTTTTATATATAAGAGAGATATATATATATATATATATATATATATATATATATGCATATGTTTATTTATTTATTTATTTATTTATTTTAGATTTTGAAACGTTTGCTGAGATTTTAAGCCAAAGGCCTCTGCATATCGAGAGTCCCTTAACTTTAAAGACTTCTTTAACGCAAGCTGAATTGAGTTACATGACAGAAATGGCTAAGAAAAGATTTGATTCAATTGCTGCAACTTTGAAAGCTATGCCACATAATTTAATTTTTGTTATAAGGTAAAATTTAATAATATAGTAAAAGATATAGTAAAATTTAATAATATAGTAAGAGATATAGTAACATTTAATAATATAGTAAAAGATATAGTAAAATTTAATAATATAGTAAAAGGTATAGTAAAATTTAATAATATAGTAAAAGAAATGGTAAAATTTAATAATATAGTAAAAGATATAGTAAAATTCATTCATATAGTAAAAGATATAGTGAAATTTAATAATATAGTAAAAGATATAGTAAAGACTAATAATGTAGTAAAAGATATAGTAAAAGGTATAGTAAAATTTAATAATATAGTAAAAGATAAAGTAAAATTTAATAATATAGTAAAAGGTATAGTAAAATTTAATAATATAGTAAAAGGTATAGTAAAATTTAATAATATGGTAAAAGATATAGTGATGACTACCCAGTAAACACTACATGTTGCCGTAATGAAACTTGTTAGTTACAAAGTTATATAACAAATGTTAACTAAATGTAATATAAGCGCAATGTAACTTTTAGTTGCAAAGTTATATAACAAATGTTAACTAAGTGTAATGTACGCGCAATGTAACTTTTAGTTGCAAAGTTATATAACAAATGTTAACTAAGTGTAATGTACGTGCAATGTATATCGATAGTTGCAAAGTTATATAACAAATGTTAACTAAGTGTAATGTACGCGCAATGTTTATCGATAGTTGCAAAGTTACATAACAAATGTTAACTAAGTGCAATATACGCGCAATGTATATCGGGAGTTACAAAGTTATATACATTTGTTACCTAATGTAATAAATGTGCAATGTTTTGTTAGAAAATATTTTCACAACTTTTTTAATGAAAAATCGATTGATCTAATTTTAAATTCTGTAGTATCAGTTATAGAGCACGGATATATATATATATATTATATATATATATATATATTATATCAATATTCATCAAAACTTTTGAAGAAAAATGTTTTTGATGAGATGAAATATCGAAGCGCGTAAGCGCCGCGTCGCTGTTAAACAAACAAACGATTTTACGGAACCCATAAAAACGTTACGCAAACGTAAACAAAATTGATACATATTATTAAAATCTCCATAGCCGATTGGCGTATAATAAATAAATAAATAAATAAATAAATAAAATATCTGATAATAATCATGCACGACCGCCTAATGGAATTTTTTTTTTTTATTTTTTTTACTAGATCTCTGTAACCGCTAGAGCTGCCTTCCCAAAAATTTAATAATGGTTTTTGAATTATTAAATTCGGACGCTCCGTTCTCTTAAAACTGGGTTACCGATTTTGGAACTTTTTGCCCCGTATCTTCGGAACGGCTAGACCTGCCTCTGCCAAACACTAATCACACACCCTCTTTATCAATACGAATCGAATGTTGTTCCCGAAATCGTCGATAAAATTTTCATTCTCGATTTTTTTGCGACTACTATAACTTACTACGGGAAGTTACAGTAAAAATTTTAAAATTTTAAATGAAATAAATTGCATTTCTTTTACAAAAACAGAATTTTAACTTCTTCAATTACTTAAAACAACTATTTTTTCAAAAAATTTAAAAACTTAGAAGTTTTTACAAAAATTTCAAAAAGTATATTAAAATTTTTGAATTCGATTAAACGTTTTAAACGTTTAAACGGTTGTCTTCCTTTTTCGGCAGAGGGACTCAGACTCAGGCGTCAGGTTTCCCAGAGTGCATTGCATGCAGCCTGTCGCCTGAACGCCATTTTATACTGTGTCATATGCGGGGTTGTTTTGTTGAGTTGTTTTGTCTTGTTTTATTTTAAATATTTTGTAATATTGAGTTCTACGTGTATAACTAAAAATGCAAAATATATAGTATATATGGCGTAAACTTTACATATCTGCTTATGTGTTATTTGTTCAGCTACGTCGAAATCGAAAGAGTATAAGAAATAACCTCAAAATGAATTTAAGAAGTGCTGTTTGATATATAATATTATGAAGGGTAAGTATAATTTATTTGTTGGTTACTGTGCTAAAAGCCTAATTATTTTTATAAGGCCCGCGTTTGGAGATGTCTCAAAAAAACTAGAGCTTATTATTTGGATATGAAAATTTAATTTTCGACAATGCTACAAGATACTAAAGGTAAATAACTGTTTAAATTTCTAATGGCTTTTGAGGTTTATATTTTATTATTGTAATAATTTATTTTTAGGATTGGATTCTAAGTCTCGGTTTGAATCCTAAATTGCCTCGAATAACATATGTGATTAATATGAAAGAATATCGAGAGGCTTTTAACAGCAAAACAAGGAATAAATGAAAGGTATATATCATAGTTCTTGTTAACTAATTACTATTATACATTCTGTTTTAACCTTTCTTATTTGTTTTTAAGGTGGAATAATACATACTGAATGGGCTACAATGGAATTAGACAAATTGTGAATATTGAGAATGAAGATGTTGGAAGTATCTCGATAAAAAAAAATATCAAAGCTTAATAATGCTCAACTATAATTCTATTAGTTATATTGTTTGTCTGCAAAAAAAATAATTGTATTTGAAAATTGTCATCCTAATTTGGAATTATGTGATAAAGTTTCTGTATATTGTGTGTTCGAGATAGCTTGATTAGCTTTAATAGTTGGACCAAAACTAGATATTTTTATTTCCATCTTTTATTAATTAATATCATTTAAAAATAGTTTTATATTAATTTGTGTTTCATTTGAAAATATGAAATTAATAATTGTAATGAATATAAATTTTATATTTTGTTATTGTTTTCGAAAAATATTTGTTACTGTTTATTATAACATATTTAATACTGTTATTTTTAACATTTAAAATATTCTAGTTTATTATGTTATTTTTTTCGTTTAATAGGTTACTATTTTTTTTTTCATTGGGTATATAACGAAAATAAATGTAATTGATATAAATTTTATGTATCGTCTAAAATATTTGTTGCTGTATTGTTTATTATATTGTTTTTTTTATTACTGTCTTGTAATGAGGTTTGTTATTGCTTTATAAATTTTGTTACTGTTCTGTTTAGTATAAAATATTTGTTGCTATTTTGTTTAGTATAAAATACTTATTACTGTTCTGTTTAGTGTAAAATATTTGTTGCTATTTGTTTGTTATAAAATATTTGTTACTGTTTTGTTTACTTTGAAATATTTGTTACTGTTCTATTTAGTATAAAATATTTGTTGCTACTTTGTTTATTGTAAATATTAATTTTAAATAATAATACAATGAAATATGAGTAAAATCTTTTTTTTATAGAAAATCACTTATTTTCGCATAAATTAAAAGCATTGCAAAAAGTGCTGATTCATATCGCATAGGTACATTACCGTAAGTTACCGCAACTTCACAATGTAACGCATATCTATATTGCATTTGTATGTTACCGTAAGTTACCGCAACTTCACAATGTAACGCACATTGTAACGCACTTGATGCGGAAATAGTTACCTTCAGGCAATGCATTTGATAAGGTTGCCGCAATGTAACAGGTAACAGATGTTATATAACTGCAATCTAACGGCAATGTAAAATTGTTTAGGGGGTAATAATGTAGTAAAAGATATAGTAAAATTTAATAATATAGTGAAAGATCTAGTAAAATTTAATAATATAGTAAGAGATATAGCAAAATTTAACAATATAGTAAGAGATATAGTAACATTTATTAATATAGTAAAAGGTATAGTAAAATTTAATAACATAGTAAAAGATATAGTAAAATTTAATAAAAAAGTAAAAGATATAGTAAAATTTAACAATATAGTAAGAGATATAGCAAAATTTAACAATATAGTAAGAGATATAGTAACATTTAATAATATAGTAAAAGGTATAGTAAAATTTAATAATATAGTAAAAGATATAGTAAAGACTAATAATTAGTAAAAGATATAGTAAAGACTATTAATGTAGTAAAAAGATATAGTAAGACTATTAATGTAGTAAAAGATATAGTATAATAATATTAGTAAAGATATAGTAACATTTAACAATATAGTAAGAGATATAGTAAAATTTAATTATATAGTAAAGGTATAGTATAATTTAATAATATAGTGAAAGATCTAGTAAAATTTAATAATATAGTAAAAGGTATAGTAAAATTTAATAATATAGTAAAAGATATAGTAAAGACTAATAATGTAGTAAAAGATATAGTATAATTTAATAATATAGTAAGAGATATAGTAACATTTAACAATATAGTAAGAGATATAGTAAAATTTAATTATATAGTAAAAGGTATAGTAAAATTTAATTATATAGTAAAAGGTATAGTAAAATTCAATCACATAGTAAAAGATATAGTAAAATTTAATAAAAAAGTAAAAGATATAGTAAAATTTAGCAATATAGTAAGAGATATAGCAAAATTTCACAATATAGTAAGAGATATAGTAACATTTAATAATATAGTAAAAGGTATAGTAAAATTTAATTATGTAGTAAAAGATATAGTAAAATTTAATAATATTGTTAATGTAATTAATTAAATAATGTGAAAGCATGTATCTAAAAGTTGCAAAAAGTTGAAATGATGCTTCAAAAATTGTTTATATCTTTATATTTATATTCATTTATGAATTTAATACTTTACAAGAACTTTTATCATTTAGCTGTTTATACTGAAATAATTATTTTACTATATATTAATTAATAGTATTATTGAAAATTATAAAATATATATAGATATATATTATATGTATTATATATATATATATATATAATATATATATATATAATATATATATATATAAATACACTACTTCTTCCCTTAATCGAGTTGGAGTTTACTTCAGCTCACAGACTTGTCTTAGGGCTGTACTACCCATTATTATAGTATTATTATTTTATATGTTTTCTATACTATTCTGTTTTATAATTTTCTTTTTCTTTTTGTTGTAGAAATTTAAATACTGTGAGAGCAATTGCTCGAGGCCATGGTGATCCTGTGGATAGATTACGGTTGATTGCAAGGACAGCTTTACGAACAAAATATGGTGTTATATCAATGCTGAAATTTGATTTTATGATGTGGTAAGATGATGTATGTACGAGGTGTGTTCAAAAAGTACCCGGAATTACTAATAATTAAATTTCGCGGGTCTGGAGTGTCTGATTGTCAAAAATTTTTTTTTATTGTGTTGGTATACATGCCCCTAAAGTATGATGAAATTTTCAGCTATATTCACTGTTTACTTTGTCTGTGGTAGTCGCTAAGGTTCGACGTGTTTTTCTGAGCTCGGCGATTTTTACAATGGAAGAATTGAAAAGTCAAAGAATTTGTATTAAATTTTGCGTAAAAAATGAAATAAAGTGTTGCAAAGTGCAAAAATTCACCAGATATGGCTCCGTGTGACTTTTTCCTATTCCCAAAGTTGAAGAGACCCATGAAAGGACGGCGGTTTTCCTCGATTGAAGAAAATCGCTGAGAGTGCTCAAGGACATATCAAAAAGTGAATATCAAGGGTGCTTCGAAAATTGGAAAAAACGCTGGCATAAGTGTATTATATCTGGGGGGGACTACTTTGAAGGGGACCACATTAATGTAGACGAATAAATAAATATTTTTTTGAAAAAACGAAAATTCCGGGTACTTTTTGAACAGACCTCGTATATATATATATATATATATATATATATATATATATAAATATAAATATAAATATAAATAAAAATAAAAATAAAAATAAAATATATATATCTTGTATAATATATATATATATATCTTGAGGATTTTTTGTTCGACGTTGAAACATATTGAATTGAATAAAACAGCTAATGCATCAAATGTAAAAAAGTTTATTTTAATTTTTTTATACGTTTTGAGACTAGATGTGTCTCATCATTCAGCTAAAGGAAATTTACAATAAAAGGAAAAGTTTTAGAATTAAAAATATTACATTAAAAAAATTAATTAAAAGAATTAAGTTATACACACTAGATCAGGAAAAAACACATTTACTATCACATTTTACAACACAACAATCACATGCCACTACTGTAGGAAAATAAAAATAATTTAAAAAAGAACCGAAAAAGGTAAATGTAAAAATATATACAACACATATCTTTTTGTACAAAAGTTAAAGTTAGTTTAAAACTAATATATAAAAAAATTTAAGAAAAACTAAATATTTTTGTTGAAAATTTTATATTTAATAATTATAATAGATATATGTAAGTTCTTTTTTATTTGACTGATTTATTTTGCATTATTATAATCATATTTCCATTATTTAATTTAATTTAAGTAGTTTTCATATTATTCCTTAATATTAATATTTATTTTTTATATTTACAGGAGTGCCCGAATAAGAATAGCATTACTCAAGTTGTACTTAAAGTTTTTAACATTTATAAAAAGAGCTCCAGATACCTCACATTTACTTAAGAATATAAACTAAGATGGTAAATATTTAATCATAAATTTTTATTATAAAATATAAATATTTATATTTATAAATAATGTTATTTTGAACATTAGCGAATAATTAAACACTTGATTAGATTTTGTGACATTATTAATAATAAACAATTGTTTATTTATAATAATAAATAAACCTGAAATGAAATTGTTTAGGTTAATGTTATAAAATATAAATGTAGTGTTTAATTATTTACTAAAAATGTAAATATTTAAAATTTATGTATAATATACTATAGTATATATAGTATATATATAAATATATATTGAAATTGTTTATTTCGACTTTGAAACATATTAAAGTTTTTTAGCCACAAGTCGAAAATGAAAGAAAGAAAGTAAATACAAAATCTTCTTTAATTGTACGTTTTGAGCTATTATGTTATCATCATTCCACAATGTGTAATCATTCAACAATTTTTTGATCTTTTTACAGTATCTAAAAGAATTTTTACAAAGTTTAAAAAAAGATTAAATTTAAATTATATTATAGAATAAAATAAAATGACAAGTAAAAAATTGATACATACCACACCTGGTATGTATACTTTTATTTACTGTAGAAATATAAAAAAAATGGCTGAATGATGGACCGATTCAAAAAGTATAAACAAATAGTTATTTATTTATAAATAATAGTTAATTATTTATTGTTTCTTTTATTTCGACGATTGGCTGCAAATTAACACTCAAGAACATATAATTATATAATTGATATATAATTATAATTATAATTTATACTGCAGGTATTTAAACATGTTATAGGTATTTATAAATATCAATTTATATTTATAAAATATATATTTATAATTATCTAACATTATTTTTCATGAAAAATTTAAGCAATATATTTATAAAAATATCACATTTTGTATACAAAATATGGGTACAGTTTATAAAAAGAATTTTCAAAATTATGTGGCAGTAGTCCATTTTATACGAAAATTCATTTAAAAATATTAAAGATGTAGATTATATAATTAATAATTCTTGGCAAAGTTTTTGAAAAAGTGTAAATATTTAAATATATATACAAAGCTCTGTACAGATCAGAGACATGGGCTCTAAGAAAAGCCGACAAGAACTATCTGAAGAGTTTTGAAATGTGGTGCTGGAGGCAAATGGAGAAGGTAAAGTGGACTGACAAGATAACAAATGAAGAAGACCTAAAAAGAGTGGGCGAAAAAACTGAGCACAATCCTGAAAAGAAAAGGAAACTGAACCGGACCCATTCTGCAAAAAGAGTGTCTCTTACACGACGTCGTCGAAGGCAAAATTGAAGGACTAAAAAGATTGGGAAAAAGAAGAATGCAGATGGTTGATGACTTATGCAAAAAGAGGAAATACAGAGAACTGAAAGCCGAAGCACAGGACCAGGAAGCATGGAAGCAGAAGTTTGGAAAGAAAAACACATGAAATAACAAAAAGAAGAGGGGAAATAGTGGTAATGGGAATGATAAAATAGAAGGACTAAAAGGATTGGGAAGAAGAAGAATGCAGATGGTTGATGACTTACGCGAGAAGAGAAAGTACTGGGAATTGAAAGCCGAAACACAAGACCAGGAAGCATGGAAAAAGATAATTATATCATTATTATCTGTTTGTAGAATGTCTATAGTTTAATAATATTATACTTGAATAATGCAGTTATTACAAATCAAGAAACTGTGGAATACCTAGATATGCACATTGATAGAAAACACAACTGCAAAATGCACTTAACAATGAAAAGAAAGCAAATAGATCTTAAAATGAAGGGACTGAACAGACTTTTAAGAAGATCATCCAAACTCTCATTGGAAAATAAGCTTCCATTATATAAAGTGATGATAATTCCAACATGGACTTATGGGATAGAGATGTGGTGTTGTGCCAGCAAGAATTAGTTTACCATTTTAATAATTCAGGGAGCTCAAAACAAGATACTAAGAATGATCAGCAACGTTTCATAGTTTATGACCAGCAATATGATACACAAGGAATTGAAAATACCCACAGTGGCAGAGGTCATTAAAACCAGAAGCTCAATTTTCCAAGATAAGTTAGATAGACAAGCAAATCCTGAAATACAGTCAGTGGCTGATTAGGCTTTCTTTCCGCTACAGACCCTATCTGATCAGACGCAATGCCCTTTTTAATGGACAAGATTTTACTTCTTTAATTATACAAATATTTTTATATTAGGACTTATGGGACTCTATCCCTGTGGGGTTGTATCAGCAAGATTACCATTCTAATAATTCAGAGAACTCAAAGCAAGATCTTTAGAATGATCAACAATGAGCTCCATAGTTTATAACCAGCAATATGATACACAAGGACTTGAAAATACCCACAGTGGCAGCAGAAGCTCAATTCTCCAAGATAAATTGAATTAAAATCAGAAGCTCAATTTTCCAAGATAAATTGAATGGACCTCTTGGCTACCAAGTAATGGATATAGAAACCAACGTTAAAAGGGAAGAATTAAAAACTTATATATTTGATTTGAATTCATTACCCGCACTCGAATTTAAAATTGTCTTTGGAAAATCTTGGAGTGTATCCACCAAGACATCAGTACTTTGGCGGAGCAATATCAAGGAAGGTGGGACATCCACATGATTGCTGACAATGAAAATCACATAAAAAGACTTTTGGAAGCATAAAATGAAATATGTTGATTTTTTATTAAATTTGAGGTAAACCTAGCATGTTGGCATATTTCAAACACTAAAGCTGTTGGTAAATTTCTGCTACAGTTTCTAGAATCATCATTTCTACCATCATAACATCTCAGGAAAAAAAATTAGTGTCTCCAGTGTTAATTTTTAGTGAAAACTCTTTTATTTTCGAATATTTCAAAAAAATTTATTTTCTAAATAAAGAGCTGAACATTTCATGTAAATAGCTAAATAACAAGGGAGCGTCCATTAATCACGTGAGGTTTTTAGGGGGGAGGGAGGGATATAGAAAGATATCACGTGTATTTATTTTTTGACTGATTTTTTTGAAAAAATCCAAACATGTTAAAAAAAAATCAAAATTTTCACTTGAATTTCACGTGATGTTCGCTGGGGAAGGGTGGGGGTTTAATTTTGAATGTATCACGTGAGGTTTTTAGGGGGGAGGGAGGGATATAGAAAGATATCACGTGTATTTATATTTTGACTGATTTTTTTGAAAAAATCCAAACATGTTAAAAAAAAACAAAATTTTCACTTGAATTTCACGTGATGTTCGCTGGGGAAGGGTGGGGGTTTAATTTTGAATGTATCACGTGAAGTTTTTAGGGGGGAGGGAGGGATATAGAAAGATATCACGTGTATTTATTTTTAGACTGATTTTTTTAAAAAATCCAAACATTTTAAAAAAAATCAAAAATTTTATTTGAATTTCACGTGATGTTCGCTGGGGAAGGGTGAGGGTTTAATTTTGAATGTATCACAAAGGGAGAGGCGGGGGTCCAAAAATCTTTAAAAAATCGATCACGTGATTAATGGACGCCCCGTTACAACTCATTAATATAACTCGAATCTTTTACCTTATTTCTTAAAATTCAGCTAGTCCTTCTATCCCCCCGTCGTCGTGGAAAGACAAAGTTCTTAATAAAAGTGCTAGAAAATTTAGGCACCATACAACCATCTTGATTCTTGTGCGTCCAAATTTTCTGCACAACATTCCTGGTAATCTGCTTAAAAAGTTCAGTAATCTCTCGTTCTTCTCCATACTTATCCAAAACATCACAAACTTCTTGTATAAACCAGGAACCTTGCTTCTTATCTCTTATACTGGCATACCCTTCCACAGTAGAATTAAAGATCACAAAATCGCAAGCCGTTGTCATTGCAGCATCTTGCAACATATGATGACCATCAATAGTCAGTTCTTGCTTGATAAAGGAAGACTGGACAGGTGTTTGGCATGCTTGGATAAGTAGTATACTGGGTTTGTTGAGTAATTGTTTGGATCTCATTCTTTGGTTTATTTTGCTGATGTCGACAGGAAGACAATCGGTTCCAAAAACAGCACCTATGTGCCCGTGTGATAATATGCATACAACAAAGGAACAGTCGGAAGGTTTCAATTCATTAGCGTACTTGTCAACAGTGTTTAGTATTTCAAAACTTTTTAAATTTTGTTTTACAACAATTCGGTATCCGTAGGAAGAAAACATGTCACTCACTTTTTGCCTATCAATCTCTGTACCATATCTTGTTTCTAATGTCGGTGCTCCGGTGACAAAACTTGGGGCAAAGTCTTTTTCATCTATAATTAAACATACACCCATATTGTCTATATCCAGGTTGTAATAATCTGATAAACTACGATTCACAACTGTGCAGGAACTCAGGGATTGAGACGTATTTATCAAATCATTGGACAAGCAATTGCTTTGATTGACATTGACGCGATTTTCAGCATTTTTCAATAAATCATAATACTTTTCTAGCTCCAAAGTTTTTAGTACTTGCAATAACATGGAAACATTTGCTTTGTCGTTGCCGCCAACCTTTATCACGCCTTTTTGAATCCAATTCAAAATATTAACTTCAAAATATTCAAGCATTATGAAGTCATCCACCAAAGTTGCAACTTTACGCATTTCATTCACGATCGATTTAACAACTTCCTTTGTGGAGTCTTCACACAAATGGTACAGAATTTTAATCAAAGGATGAATATAAACGGAGCAATCGCTTTGTCTAGGTAAAAACCTCAAGCATTCATCTTGATAATCTAAACCAAGTTTATCCAGAATCGCAAAATTCTGAATCAAAGTCAGGGCTTCTCGCAAAACGTTCTCCCAATTGTTGTTATTACTAGCCCATTGTTTGAGAAATGTTGTAGGTCCCTGATTGCTGGGATTGATCAATTGCAAAATGTTATTGTAACCTGTTGCTGGTTGACCATGACCATGGAGCAGAAATAGTAAAGATACTTTTTCGTACCTGGAAAGGTCGTCTTCATTAAAATTATTTATTTAAAGTATATAAGTGAGCTTTAGAGTTTATTAGTTTAACTTTTTGTTTTAAAAATGTTGTAGGTCCCTGATTGCATGGATTGATCAATTTCAAGTTATTGTAACCAGTTGCTGGTTGACCATGGCCATAAAGCAGAAATAATAAAGAAACTTTTTAATACCTGAAAAGGTTGTGTTCTATGAATTGTATTCATATATTACATCACTCAATAAGTCCGTAGGATAATACATAGATGATGTAGCTATGTAATCATCCATATGATTAAATTATAAAAAGGCATATGTCAAAATTTCATGATAATATTATTTTACAAGTTACAGAGGTTCAAGTTACGCTACTTTTGAGTTTTTTGAAACCATGAATTCAAAGCAATTTTGTGGGTTGATGTATAAATGATCAAAAGCCAAAGTATCTCTTGTTAAGTGAAGATAAAGCTTCCTAACCAAAAGCTCCACCCATCAAAAAAGGAAAACCTGCAACACCAAAAAAAGAATCCACTAGTGATAGTGACTGAAAAACAGCTGCTGCTCCATCAGGACAATGCAACAAGTCACAAATTCCTGCAAATATTGGCTAAAAAAACATGATGGGCTCCGAAAGGCATCCGCAGTCACTATATTCTCTAGATCTGTTCGCCATGCTCTATATACTGTTCTCAGATTTCAAAAGGATGCTCGTGGTGGAGAAATTTTTGCCAAACGATGAGATGATAGCAGAACTTTGTGGTAAAGTACAAATTGTACCACAAAAATGGTTTCAAAAAGTTCAAAGTTCACTATAATTTGTATATTGTCTTCGAAGAAAACTATGTTGAATAAAAAAAAAAGAATTTTGCCAGAAAAATGGTCTTAGTTATCCTATGGACTTATTGAGTGAAGTGATAGATTGTTACAAATACTGTAACTTATAAATGTTTACATAAAAGTAAATAAACAAAACTTAATCAATCGAATTTAAAATGAAGGACATTGTCTAATATTTACAAGAATTATATAAACTGAATTGCAAAGTTAAAATTATTTATTTGAAGTATGTAAGTGAGCTTTAGAGTTTATTAGTTTAACTAACTTTTTATTTTAAAAATGTTTTAGGTTCCACATTGTTCGGATTGATCAATTTCATCATCGTAACCTATTGCTGGTTGACCATGGTCATAAAATAGAAATAATAAAGGAAATTTTTGTACCTGGAAAGGTTGTCTTCTATGAATTGTATTATAACTTATATATGTTTACAGAAAAGTAAATGAACTAAACTTAATCAATCGAATTTAAAATAAAGGACATTGTCTAATATTTATAAGAATTATATAAATTGAAAATCAAAGGTTGAATTATTGAAGTAAAACTTCTTTAGGCGCGACTAGGGTGTAAATCCGTATAAATGCAACGGAAGTCCGTTACTCCCGAACTGCTCGTCATCCGTTCTCGATAAGATCATTTCTATACGGGTCGATCGTGATTAGTCGTCGTGTATGTGAATAGAGATCTATTGTTGTAACAAGGAAATCGGCATAGATAAATAAACATTCTAAAGTTACATTGTAGTACAAATCTTGATTTAATGAAAAATGCCTGATTCAGAAGAATATTTCACCCTGTTCCTTGAAATTAATAAAACAAATTAAACATTTGTGCTGTGTACTAAACGTAAGTTTATTGATTAGAAATTATTTCTATATTATTCGTAATTTTTATAAGTCTTTGAAGTTATTAATATGGAAAATATTTTTTAGGCAAGACAGATATTACAGCTGTTCAAAGAATGAGATTGTATCGTCAGCAAAAAAGTAAAAATAAATACAAGCAGTCAATGAATGTATGTTAATTTTAATTACATGAAGTTCTTTAAACACAATTATTACATGATGAGTGAAGTTGCAAAAAAATATTTGTTTAGGCGTTGTTTAACATAATCCACTGTGTGAACGAACATTATAGAATTTATTAATCAGCAATTACTTCATTTCTCTAATGAAGTCCTAAATGCTAATTACAATGACAAACCGATCATGTCATATTTGAAGTATGACTTTAATTACATTATTGTTTTTAAATATTATACATATTTTTAATGCTATTATAAATATATAATTTATAATTTATCATTATATAAATGCGTATAATGGTTGATACTAATAAATGTGCGCATGATGAGTGTTACTATATTACTAATAAACATTATTCAAAATTGTTATATGATGTATTTATTTTTACTTAAATGCCATCTTAAAATAATAGAGAAATAGAGGAAGTGGAAAGCATAAAATACTTAGGACTGATAATAAATGAAAAAAAAAGATAGGAACATTAACAGGGGCATTAAAAAGGATCCACTCTTTCAGAAAAAAAAAAAATACTAATTCTTAAAGCGGAAATAATACCTATAATTTTATATGGAATAACAACATGGAGCCAAACAACTAAAGCAAACCTAAATGACATACAGAGAATAATGAATAAAGCCATAAAAATAGCATATAATTTTCAACATCTAACACCCACCAAATACTTACAGAGAGAATCAAATAATCATTCACTGAATAACATAATTAAAATAGAGAAATGCAAACTAATACACAAAATGAAATTTAACCGAATTAAAACAAGTGCAACAATAGACACAAATCAAGATATACATGAACACTACACGAGACAACACAACAATTTTCACATTGAACACAATAGAAAGAAGAATTTCAGAGAAAATGTCATATGGAGTGCCAGCAAAACATATAACGAATTGCCAGACTATATTAAGATGACCAATGATAATGATAATTTTAAAAGAAAAATAAAGAAGTACTATATGGAAATTGAAGAAAAAGAAGACTGAAGAGTTATATATAGATATTATATTAATGAAATAGATATTATAGTCAAATGAAATGTAAATATTATATGAAAACTGTTTTTCATAATCTCTCATACCAGGCACCTCTGTCTGACTGAAATATGAAAATGTATATATGTAAATAAATAAAATAAATCTTGTACAGTAACAAATAAGTTTTACTTCAATGGAAATTAAAAGAAAAAAAAATGTTATTACTACTAGTCCATTAATTGTTTTAAAAATGTTGTAGGTCCCACACTGCACAAGTTGATCAATTTGAGAATGTTATCGTAACACGTTGCTGGCCATAAAGCAGAAACAATAAACGAACCATGGCAATAAAACAAAAATATGAAAGGAACTGCTTCCTACCTGGAAAGGTTGTCTTCTATGAATTGTATATTTTCCCATTTGACTCTTGATAAGTTGTTGGAAACAACAACCGGGTTGGAATCACACGAATACATAATTGTTTATAAACACCACATTTATATTATACGTTGAACTATAAAGTTTTTCTACAAACTAAATTGTTTATAAATGCAATAAACATTCAAAATTATTTTAAAAGTAATTAAAGTTAAAATTGTAAATATAAAACTGCGTGTTTGACGTTTGACATTTAACATGCGTTTGACGTTTGACACTTGTTGCATGTTCACACCAGTTCATGCGCCAGTGTCACCACCATATTAATATGAAACAGTTGGTGCTACTGACTAATGTCAAAAACAATTAAAAATAATTTTTTATTCATTTATAACAAGATAATTCATATATTCAAATGTTTAAGTGTTAATTGTTGTTATTATTATAATTGTGAAAAAGTAGTTCGAATTCGTTCAATGTTTCATATATTATTATTTTTGTTTTATTGTTCACAGTTTGTTTCAACAGATTTTAATTTCAATCTACAAGTGACAGTGGGTATCAAAAATCAAAACAAAGGTAAGAAAATAAAATAAATAAATGAATAAACTAGTGGTGCGCATGGCATCGTGCCTTAAGGCAAATTGCTGGAACTTCCCGTACCAAAAATTTTTTTTTAAAAAATATTAAATTTTTTCTTTAAACTTTGAAAAAATTAAATTCTTGATAAATTTTAAATTTTGAAAAAAATGAATTTTTGGAAAAAGAAACTTTTGGCAAAAAATGTTTTTTATGTTGAAATATTTTGGGCATTCTGAACTTTTTTTCAAAGCAATCGTACTGCTTTAACTGCATAGAGACGAAATATCGAAGCGCGTAAGCGCCGCGTCGCCGTCTAACGGATAAACATTGGTACGGAATCCATAGGAATGTAAACAGTATTTATACTTATTGTTAAAATCTCTATAAAATATCTGATAATTTAATGTGTATATGTCTAATGATAATTTTTTTCCTTTTTTTACTAGATCTCCGAAACCGCTAGACCCGCTAGACCTGCCTTCATGAAAATTTGATCAGTTCTTCATCTTGTTAATAAAAGTAAAATGTTTTTTGAATTATTCAAATCGGACGCTCCGTTCTCTTAAAAACTGCGTTACCGTTTTTGGCACTTTATGCCCCATATCTTCGGAACGGCTAGACCTGCCTTCGCTAAAAACTAATCAGCACGTCTCCTTATCATTACGAATCGAATGTTTTTTGAATTATTAAAATAGGTTGATCGGTGTTTCCGAAATCGTCGACGAAAATTTGTATCCGCACACACACATACATCCATTTTTTCTAAGGTATGCCAAAATGTTCAGAAACCTTTTTTTTTATTCAGAAACCCTTCAGTTTTTGCCATTTTATTTTTAACTTCCCGTAGAGTAAGTTATAGTAATCACAAAATAATCGAAAATGAAATTTTTTATATATCTTTACGTTTCAAAACCTTCTGAAAATTTTGGCATACCTTAGAAATAATGGATGTATGTGTGTGTGTGTGTGCGGATACAAATTTTCGTCGACGATTTCGGGAACATGGTTCAACCGATTTCAATTATTCAAAAAACATTCGATTGCTGTTGATAAGGAGACGTGCTGATTAGTTTTTGGCATAAGCAGGTAGCTATTTCGAAGATACGGGGCAAAAAGTGGCACAAACGGTAACTCAGTTTTTAAGAGAACGAAGTGACCGATTTTAATACTTCAAAAAACGTTTTACTTGTATTGACAAGATGAAGAACTGATTAAATTTTCATGAAGACAGGTCTAGCGGTTTCGGAGATCTAATGAAAAAAGTAAAAAAAATGCCATTCGGCGGTCAAAAATGATCATTAGACATATACACATCAAATTATCAGATATTTTATAGAGATGTTAACAATAAGTATAAATTTTGTTTACATTCCTATGGGTTCCGTACTGATTATCAGTTAGACTGCGACGCGGCGCTTACGCGCTTCGATATTTTGTCTCCGTGCAGTTAAAGCAGTACGATTGCTTTGAAAAAAAGTTCAAAATTTCCAAAATATTTCAAAATAAAGAAAAGATTTTTTTTCAAAAAGTTTTTTTTTTTAAAAAAGTAAACTTTTGTCAAAAATGTATAGTTTCTCATAAATCTAATTTTTTCAAGGTAAATTTTTTTTAAAGATGTTTTATAAATTTTTGGCACGGGAAGTTCCAGCAATTTGCCTTGAGGCACGATGCCATGCGCCCCACTAGTTATAAAATATTTAAAGATATTCTATCTACGGATTTTTGAACAAACTTTTTGCCATTATCTATTTTCAGGGTTGCTGTATCACTGCAAAACAACGAAATCTCTAGATTGCAGCATCGAAATTTGGTCAAAAAATGGATTCGTTTTCGCCATTGTTAAAATGTTTTGACTGATTTTAATAGATTTTGGGACTCTGATTTCAAAAATGGTATCCGTTTTTGGATAAATCAACATACCTCTGCCAAAAATCGAAATTTTTGGTTGCAACATCGAAATTTTACTAATGACATGAACACTTTTTTTTGGGGATTTTTAAAATATTTTGACTTATTTTGATAGTTTTGGAGGCACTGTTTCCGAATTCGAAATCAATTTTTGGAAAAATTCACTCTTTCCGCCCCTACACCAACTTGAAGTTTGAAAAATCGCCAACTTTGAAGCTGATTTTAACTATGAAGACGATGACAAATTTGTAATTTTTTTGGTTTGGTATAAAGATTGTACTTTAGTCTACACAATACATTCATTAAAATTATTAATTTTATTCATTAAGGGCCTTAAAATTGCATTTGAAAGTCACGGTTTTGGCAAATTTTGGCTGCCCCTGAAAAACCGGTTTTGTATGGGAAAAGTAGTAAAATTTGTAAATTTTTTAAATTACACCAAAGTATGTTTGGTTTACTGCTAACCAGGCGTAAATACGAATTTATTAAAAATTATTTCCAGATCTACTATTTCTTATCATATATGAATATATACATACATACATACATATATATATATATATATATATATATATATATATATATATATATATGCATATATATATATATATTATATCAAATTTTGTAATACTGACACTCAATAAATTTAATTATTTATCTATATATCTTATTTATTTACACAGTTAGAAAAATTACTGAATTTATATTTTTTTCAAATAATTTGGGGTTCGATCAGACGAACCTCGTACTGTAATTCTGGCCCAAACCGTATCTTTACGACCTCGGCCATTCACTCACCTGAAATGGTATGCTTTTAGGAAACTTATATCTTTCATTTAAAAATAAGACTTTATATTTTTACAAATAGAAGAGGGTTCTTTGTAACCAATTGGCCGAGATCGTTAAGTTACCACTACGATTGCTCAGTGTTCCTGGGTTCAAATCCCGAAGAGATTTGAAAAATCAAATGTCTAGTTTTTCATAAATGACAAATATTAGTTCAAAATATTAAATTCAGGTGGCGCATTTCGACCTTGACACTTAAAATATTTCTGAAAAACAAAAAACTTGACTTGGCTCGCACTTGACTGTAAGAGAAAGATGACGAAGGTAAAGGAAGAACGGGGGAAAGAGAAGGGTGGAGGTAGGTGATGAATAAGAGAGATGTGTATGATACATATACTTTATTCAAATTCAATATTAATACAATATGAGTATAAAAATAACTTTTATCATCAATATAACAAATAGCCGAGTGGTTAAGGTGACCGCGTACTCGGTGACATCACTCTGGAGGAGGCAGAAGGTGAGGGGGATCGAATCCAGCTGGAGACGACGACGACCAACTCTAAAGCTGAAAAAATAGAGCAGTGCTGGTGGCTGGCTGGTGGCAGACGCGGAGGGTCCTGAAACGAACCACACCAAGTGATAGTCAACCTGAGGTTCGTGATGGGAGAGAGATTACACACAGAGAGACACATTGCGGATGAGTCATGCCGAACCCAAAAATCTACCAAAAACCACAACGTTCAAAAAAACAACATCAAGAAAAAAAAATGTGAAAAAAAGCGAAAAAAGCGGGAGGAGGAGGAGGAAAGGAGGAAGGAGGGGGAGGAGAGACCAAAAAAAAACCCCTTAAGTCCCAGATCAATTTTTCTCTTTTCTGTTCAGCGTTGAAACTTTTTTATGTTTTTTAGTGTTCCCTCACACCAATTCCCAAAGCCAACACTCGAATGAAATAAGGTCCACTTTGAAATTTTCACAACGAGAAAAAATTACTGGGACTTAGTTAAAAAAAAACTTGGTTAAAATTTTTAAATATGCCCCAATAAATATTTCTCGTCTTGAAATTTTCAATGTGGTTCTCATTCATTCAAATGTTGGCTTCGGGATGATATAGCATGCATAAATAACTCGTCTGCCATAATCGAAAAGGTTTCAGTAAATATTATATTGATGAAATTAATCGAAAGGATTATTTAATTAAAAGTTGGATTGATGTTAATCAAATCGAAGAAATGATCTTAGATAAATGAAAATTGTTGAGCATGTAAAACCTTTACGATTATTCAAGACAAAAACAAAATTAGTGGATTTGAATTGAACAAAGCTGTAAAAATGAAAACTAAAAAACTATAAACAAACTAGCGTTCTAAACTTGAATTTCGAAGAAGAACAAAAACTTTAAATAATGAATGAAATGATGTACTTATAATTAAAATTGAATTTTGTTTTATTCAAATCAACTTTTCAAAACTTTAATCAAACCACATCAACTCGAATAATAAAATCTCATTGACAGAACAAAATTATAAATATCGAGAAAATATACTTCAAAAAGTAGTCGAAGCAATTATGGAATAAATAATTTAAAAACTTTCAAAACAAAGTTATTCGACCATTGTATTGTTTATAAAAATGTATCGAGTTAATGTAGTATTGAGTAAAATCTAATTAAATATGACGAGACAATTATCAACATATGAATTAATCGCATCAACATACTCGTCGATTGCATGTCTTGATCAAAAGTGTATTTAGAAGTAAAAGAATAAAAATCTATATTTAGCAATGTAGCAATATAATTAAATAAATTTGAAACAAAATTACTATGAAATTCTTTTAAAAGTTGCATTTAATCAATTACAATTAGGAAAGTCATAAATTGAGTCTTAAATATTTTGATCAGAGCCATCAATCGCGTTGTCATTAATAAGAATGAACATGCAGTCAATATTGCTATAGGGAAAACACATGATACTTGATTCTAGAAATGTAATTCTAAAATTTTTAAAATTAAATAAAAACCTTTGCCATGTGAGATATATTTGTTGTTGAAATGTTATCTGATATACAGATTCTTCAGAACTAGAGTTCTATTTGAAATATCATTAATTCAGGAGTTGCACAAGGAGGGATGCCAGACCCCATTCTGCAAATCCTTTAAACAAATGATATTCAGACATAAGTGGCTCAAAAATAAATGAAACAAATCAAGTCTTATTACTTTTACAAGAAAAACTCAGAGAAACCTTTCCTTTTAATTCATTATTTATGCAATTAAATGAAAATAAATTAATGTCAATGAAAAGCAAAACCTATTGTATTATATTGATTTTTGAAATTGAAAAAAAAAATGAATCAATATGTTTTCCCCATAGTGAATTGTATAAAATCATTTTTATGCATAAAGAACATCACTTGCAAATTTAACAATTGAACAAAGTGCATCTAATATCAGATATGCAAGTGATATTCAACATTTTTGCACATACGTCTGCTAAAGTAGTACTTGAGATAAATTGTATTTAATTTGTATTTAGAATTGCAAAAACAATGACAAAATGTAGTTAAGCATAATATCATGTAAAATATAAACCTTTATTAAATAAATTACCTAATATATAGACTGTAATATGAATAGATTAAAAATAAATGAATTTAAGCTTTAGACATAAGTGTTTGTATCAATAATATGACTATGCAATTGTTTTAAATAAATAAATAAACATTTAGCAGATATGTGTGCATAAAATACTAATAATGCACAAGTACAAACGTTATACAATATGGACTGCTAGTCGAGCGCAAAATAAGTGTGTAAAGTTAGAAGGGATTGTGGAACTCTCACGATTAATTAAATGCTAGATGTTATTTTAATAATATCATGGCAATTGACTGATGAAGTTGTGTAAGAAATTATATTAATGATATTTATCATGATAGTCAATGTGATCTGAGATAGTTTCATTTTAATAATATAATGGAAATTACTAATATCATTTCTTGAAAAACAATGGATAGATACAATGGAAAACATACGAATACTAGCAGTGCATGAAGTATAAGGTCTATGTGCACGAGTCAGAAAATATTCACTGAAATACATACAGAGAGTTTTGATTTATACAATAAAACATTATCAGTACGTTGTTCGTTTTACAATAAATTCCTGTTTATGATTTCAGAAAAGTATTCATTGACTCGTCGGTGTATAAAGTTTGCTTGGACTCACATTGACGTATCCACATGCTGCATAGAATTAAATCCAAATCTCCTCCACAAAATGAACCCTCTAAAGCATCTGCTAGAAGCTCTAAAGCTGAACATTTGTGAATCACTACACCACACTACTTTCATCACTGACTTTATAGACTTAGTTTATAATTTGCAAATGTCCAAGTGGAGTCTTTGGGACTCAACACACGACACGACGAACAACAAAGCAACGAACACATTAGAGAATTTTGTGACCTAGAATTTGACAAAATACAGATACATCACAGAAGTACTTGCAGCCTTCTGAATCTTACATACTTGACATATTTGATAATTGCATATATGAATAAATACAAAGGATACATTGGAAGCTGTAAATAAAGTATTTGATTATGCAATTAATTAGAATTAAAAATTTTGACAGAGATAGGTTAAGGCTGAAGTACATCGTCACATATCTGCTCTAAAAACATATCATCACACACGAATTTTATATCAAATTGATGTGCATAATTAGTAGAACAATATAATGCATCAATTAATGAAAACTAATGAGGAAATTAATTAAAAACACTAATTAATTAGTTTGCAAGCATCTATCACAAAATTCACTATAAAAATGGCCGCCATCAAAGACGAACTGTCATGAACAACTAAACGAATCAAAGTGACAAAGTCGCAGGCGCCAAATTCAAATTTCATAACTAAAAATTATCAAATTCGCTTAATATTCTTTGTTCTAAACAAATACAATGATAGATAGTTAATATTTGACCATGTCTAACAGCAAAAATTAGATAGATATCAAAATATTGCTTAATTTGCTTTTAAATTTTGATTGTAGTTGCATAAAATCAAATACAAATACAGTAGACCCTCGCTTTACACGGCACTCTGGATACACGGTTCCCATACTACACGGAGCTAAAAATCCGACATCCCTCCGACTACACGGACTTCTTATTACACGGTATTTGGTCAACAGCCCATAAGTTCGTTGTGCAAAAGGGTATTGATGTAAATTTTGTTATTGACTTTTATCTTTTAGACATGCCTGTTTATATAATAGCTGCCTAAGAACACGTTTGAGCTGACTACTGCGTCGCGCCAATTTTTGAATAAGGTGTCAATCGTGTCAATGCCCTACATGTCATTTCGTCCGTATTACTCCTACTTCAAGTGGTATTTCTTGGTCTCCATACAGCGCGATAAAAATGGTGCGATTTGTACCAACTGTGAGTCTCTCATAGCACGGATCCCATACTGCACTATGTAAGGTTCCATAGAACGCACTACGAATTAGCCTGAATTGTATGTTAAATACGAGTTTCTTATAGCACGGTTCCCATACTGCACGGTACGCACTTGCCGCGTAAAGCGAGGGTTTACTGTATTAATGATTCGCCTTTTTCTTCTAGCACAAAATGTTTGTTTCTGATTGTTTAATTTGAATTTCTAAATTAATTTTATATACATTATGTTTTTTTCCACACATATATGATAATCAGACTTTAACAAATCAAAATTATACAAATATAAAGATGATTAAAAGGTTTATCATATAAGAAAACATTGTAAAAAGTCTATTGAATTATTTCATTACAAAATATATAAATTTTATTAGTATTTTGGTTTACATTTTTTTGTATAGTGTTGTCGAAGTCTAAATACTGAAAAGCCCTCCTATTATAATTGTTGAATTGTTTTTGTATTGAATAACTTATATAAACATTTCTTATATTTATAACCTTTTTAATTATTTAAAAATAAACACTCACTGAAAATTGAATTATACATTCACTATAAGCTGTAATAACTAAAATATTTTTAATTGTATGATGTCTTGCTTATTGCAAGACTAGAATAAAGAGTAAATTAATTTTCCTTACATATTCCTCGTTTCTTTATATTTAACCGTCATCTACAATCTACATTCTGTCTGTGTGTGATTGTTAATCTAATTTGATGAATTTGTAGAATAAAAGTTTTTATTTTTATTTATTTTTATCTAGGCTGCGATAATAATGTAATAATCATATATAAAAAATGATTCCGCAAACAATCTTTATTCTAAGTTGTTACATGTGTGTAAAACTTTCAATAGGAAATCAAAAGTATGTTTTATAATTCATGTTGATATCTGTTATCGTTTGTTAAAAATGTCGAAATAATTATGAATGAAAATTTGAATATAATTTAAAAAAAAAGAGGCTTATTATTTAAGATTATTATTAATAATAATCATTTTTATAATTATATACATATATATGCATTTATGGAAATGGGAAAAACTCTCACACTACTTCTTCCCTGAATTGAGTTGGAGTTTAACTCAGCTCACGGACCTGCCCTAGGGCAGCACTACCCATTATTATTATTATTATTATATGCATTTATATAGTGTTAATATTATAAAGTGTATAATATTAAATCAACCTACATTCCATTTACTTTTTAACAATCTGTGGCTTAAAGTCATGCTGTACAGCTTTCGTAAAACTCTCAGCATATAGTTCTAATCTCTGAGTCATCTGCAAAAAAAATATGGCTTAAATATATATCATTATAAATGATATTAATTATTAAATTTTTTGAATAATTATCTCTTAATTTTTCACCTATTTTCAAATGTAATATATATTTTTGATTTTAAATAAAAATTGATATCACTACTGCATGATATCAGGTTGTCCAGAGCAGAAACTTAAACTGAATTTCGAATTAAATAAAATTAAATTTAGCTACTTAGATGCTAAATGTTAAATGTAAAATGCTAGATGTCATTTAGAATTTAATATTAATGTAGAAAATTCTTATGCCAGCTAAATACTCTAACTTGATTCTAAGAAGAATAGTGGGCTATTTTCAAATATAAATATATCTTTGATCTATAGTTAAAAGAGAAAATAGATATCACTACTGTGCATGATATCAGGTTGTCCATAGTGCAGACTTGAACTTAATTTCGAATTAAATAAAATTAAAGAAGCATTTAATTTGCAAAAATAAATATTAAGATCTATAAGATTAAAACATTTTCATGTTTTAAGTTAGACCATATTGCAAAGGGTTACAAAATTTTATTAAAATCTCTTCAAGTAAGGCAAAACACGACTGCATTAGTTAAAAAATAATAATCTTGACACATGCACAGCCTGTTTTCTGCCAAATATATATTGTATCTTATATTATTTTAATTTTTGGCATATCTCAGCTGCTTTTCGGCAATAATGTAGGTAGATATTACATTTTTCTTATTCATAATCATAAATATATTATATTTTAATAATGTCTTAGGCTATAAGTGAATTGAAAAGTTTGACAGATGACAGTCTTTATTAGTTGTCAATGCCAAACAATGATAAGCGGGTTATTGTAATTTTCTTATTTATTTGTACAATCTAACTATATTTCCATAATTCAAAAAATCCTAAAAAATTCCCTTAACAAACTTCAGAAAGATTTATCAAAATCGGAATAATCGTTTAGGAGGATTATCCTTTCATACACCATTACAGAAGAATTTTATATATAAGATGTACTATAAATTATTTACTTACTCTGAATCCCCAATGATCTTTGACTTGTCTGCATAAATTCAAATCCATTTCAGCAATGAGCAATCCATCCTTGTTTCGAGACAAAAACTACCAATAAAAAAAACATCATAAGTTGTGAGAATGATAATAAATAAATGCATATATAAATTATAAATTTACCAGTATTAAAATTGTAATACTATTGATTAGTTATTAATAATTAATATTCAATTTAAAATATCCAGGCAGACTACTAATTATTATAATTATTTATTAACCATTTCATTAAATCTCTCCTTTACCTCGCTCAGCTGTCCATCAGGCGATGCAACATAGCTGGACCCATAAAACGGGCCAAAGTTCTTATGAGCTTCCTTGCCGTCTCCTGAAGTGAATTCCTTTTCAAAGATTTCTGTTCCCACACGATTTATGGCCACTGTGAAGCACCCGTTAGCTATTGCTGCACAGCGAGCCTCTACTGGCCACAGGGGTTCACTTAAAGACCCAATCTAGAGAAAAAATTAATGTAAATATTGCCATGAGCGTTAAATAAATAAATAAATAAATGTAATAAGATATGGTGTAAGATTGTTTAAGGTGGTGCATAGATAAGATATGTTAGCTCATGAAAATTCATATTAATGATGAGATTAATGATAATGAGAAAAACCAAATGTTTGCAATTTTTTTCTTAATAAAATAAATAAAAGGTAAAAATGAAGTGTAGTGTGTTCATATTTACATAATATATATAATATTGTCATGAGGCTTTACTTAAATTTGTTTGTGATTTTCATTTTTGGAGAATCCTTTTTATCAGACTAATTGTTTGGGGGCATCCATTAATCACGTGAGCTAGTTTTTAAGGATTTTGGGATCCCCCTCCCCCTTGGTGATACGTGGTGATATTTAAAATTACCCCCCCTCTCCCAACAAACATCACGTGTATTTTTAGTTACGTGAAAAAACAAACATTTTTGATTCTTTTTTAGAAAATGTATGAATTTTTTAAATACAAGTGATATCTTACCATACCCCCCCTCCCCGACGTAATATTTCGTAATTTTTTGTCTAACCCCCCCTCCCCATAAAACCTCACGTGATTAATGGACGCCCCCTTAGATTGCTGCTCAATTTATATTGGTGAAACCATACAAAATTTAATAAAACGACTTCAACAACATAAAAACAATTCTAAATATCTCTACCATTCAAAACTATGCTTACAGAACACATTTACACCTTAAAACATGATAAAGACTTTTAGAACATCTTAGAAATCCTGTTTATCAAATTAATTGTTTAGATTGCTGCTCAATTTATATTGATGAAACTAGACAAAAATTAATAAAACGACTTCAACAACATAAAAACAATTCTAAATTCCCAAATGTATTTCCAACTATGCTTACAGAACACATTCATCACCCCTAAAACATAATATAGACTTTTAGAACATCTTAGGAAACCTGTTTATCAAATTAATTGTTCAGATTGCTGCTTAATTTATATTGGTGAAACTAGACAAAATTTCATAAAACGACTTCAACAACATAAAAACCATTCTAAATATTCCTACAATTCAAAACTATGCTTACAGAACACATTTACACCTTAAAACATAATATAGACTTTTAGAACTTCTTAGGAATCCTGCTTATCAAATTAATTGTTTAAATTGCTGGTCAATTTATATTGGTGAAACTAAACAAAATTTAATAAAACGACTTCAACAACATAAAAACAATTCTGAATATCCCTACAATTTAAAACTATGCTTACAGAACACATTTACCCCTTAAAACATAATATAGACTTTTAGAACATCTTAGGAATCCTGTTTATAAAATTATTTGTTCAGATTGCTGCTCAATTTATATTGGTAAAACTGGACAAAAATTAATAAAACGACTTCAACAACACAAAAACAATTCTGAATATCCCTACAATTTAAAACTATGCTTACAGACCACATGCACATCTTAAAACATAATATATACTTTTAGAACATCTTAAGAATCCTGTTTATCAAATTAATTGTTCAGATTGCTGCTCAATGTATATTGGTGAAACTAGACAAAATTTATTAATACGTCTTCAACAACATAAAAACAATTCTAAATATACCTACAATTCAAAACTAGGCTTACAGAACACATTTACACCTTAAAACATAATATAGACTTTTAGAACATCTTATGAATCCTGTATATCAAATTAATTGTTTAGATTGCTGCACAATTTATATTGATGAAACTAGACAAAATTTAATAAGACGACTTCAACAACATAAAAAGAATTCTTAATACCCCTAGTATTTAAAACTATGCTTACAGAAAACATTTACACCTTAAAACATAATATAGACTTTTAGAACATCTTAGGAATCCTGTTTACCAAATTAATTTTTCAGATTGCTGCTCAATTTATATTGGTGAAACTTGACAAAAGTTAATAAAATGACTTCAACAACATAAAAACAATTCTAAATATCCCTACCATTTAAAACTATGCTTACAGAACATATTTACACTTTAAAATATAATATTAACTTTTAGAACATCTTAGGAATCCTGTTTGTCAAATTAATTGTTTAGATTGCTGCTCAATTTATATTGGTGAAGCTTGACAAAATTTAATAAAACAACTTCAACAACATAAAAACAATTCTAAATATCCCTACCATTTGAAACTATGCTTACAAAACACATTTACACCTTAAAACATAATATACTTTTCATGTCAAAAACAATTTATTCAAAAGACCTGTAAGCAAAGTTTGTTTGTGCAAAAATTTTGGAAGTGATTTGATAGGTTATCAAGCAATAAAAATATCTTCCAAAAATATTAGCAATTTGTTTCACATACGTTACAATCTTAGTGAAAATATATTTCATAAAAATCTTTCTTTCATTATATTTTTAGCTAGTTCACAGATATACAGATCATACTTATCACTAACATCACAGTTACTTTCTTCTAAAAAATTTTATATATATATATATATATATATATATATATATATATATGTATATTTTATTTATATATATATATATATATATATTTTATTTATATATATATATATATATATATATATTTATATATAATATAAGTAGACTTACAGTTGCCGAAGGATTAAAGATGATCTCTGCTCCATTAATTGCAAACATAGTCCAATTGAGTGGATGGTGTCGACCGTAACAAATGTTTATGGCAAGTTTTCCAAAATCAGTCTTCAACAAATATAAACATATATAGGTATTAAATATGTATCAATCTATATATATACATATATATGAAGAATTTCGAGTTTTAATTACGTTTACTTCAAAATGTAAAATTTTTGGGTTGAAAAAATCTATATAATGATTTAAATTATTTATATGCTCGGTTAACATGGTCTTGAATTGTTTGGTATTTTTCGAGTTATTTTCAATTTCAATTAATCTTCTATACTAAGTTTCTGATATGGTTAGAATTAAATTTAGATTTAATTTGTGTAAAAATGAAACTAAAGGTTGTATTGCAAATACACACCAAAAAAGGCCACATTGTCGAATCAAATAAAAGATATTATATCACATCAAATTCAAGACTATTCAAATACATTATATATATATATTTATATATATATAATATAATATATATATATATATATATATATTTATATATATCTATTTACTTCAAAAACAGGATGGCCAGTGTTTCCTTCCATGTAATAAGTCGACTCATTAAAATCTCCAACTCTTGGAATGTGATTTTTTCTGTGTTTGCCCAAAACCTTCAAATAAAAATAAATATATACACATTTTTAATTTATATTTTTTCCAGAAAATCCTAATTGCTAATTTTATGTTACTAGACGTTCTAAATTGATGGCAACACAAGCATGTAAGTGTGAGAGAAGATTTGACTTTTTGTCCACGCAGTCATATTATAGGGTGTTCTTTAAGATCATGGACTATATATCAGTATATACCAAGTTTTATTAATTACAAAAAAACGGCTCGGCCAATTTTTGCCTAAAAGCTAATAAGCATGATTCTCATTCGATATCTTTCAAACAGATTTTAAATTATGATTATATCAGGATTTTTTGCAAAAAATGGACAAAACATATTGCACGTTTTTGCTAATTGTAAAAAAAATCTCGGCTGATTGTATAGCAAAACTAAAACGCAATCGAATGGTTTTAAACTGAAATTGGTTCAGAGGTTTTTTGAGAAAAATTCAACAAAATCAAAAATCCGACACACACACATATATATATAAACATTTTTCAAATTGGATCTCAAACAATTCAGAATGACTTGAAACACATTTTTTTTCCTCAAAAATTTTTTCCCTAAAAACATACACACATTTTCCAAATTGAGTCTCAAACAATTCAGAATGACTTGAAACACAATTTTTCCCCCAAAAAATTACAGTCCATGTTTTTTTTCCAAAAAATCAAAGTCCATGGTATTTCCCCAAAATTTTTTTCCCAAAAAATCAAAGATTATAGTTTATGGTTTTTCCCCAAAAATTTTTTCACAAAAAATCAAAGACTACAATCCATGTTTTTTTTTTCCTGGTGCAAACAAACTTCTCTTTCAACGGTTAAGGTTTACTTAAACATTAATACATGTATTAATCTCTAACTGCAGTTAGAGATATTATAATAAGCTTGTTTGTTAAAAAGGAGTAAATTGGAAATGGCATTGATTAGTTTTTAGTAGAAGCAAATACATTATTTTCTGGTGAAAACAAATTTCTCCTTCAACCTTATAAGGGTTACTTAAACATTGATACAGTTAGAGATATTATAATAAGCTTGTTTGTTAGAAAGGGGTAAATTGGAAATGGCATTGATTAGTGGAAGAAAATACTTTATTTTCTGGTGAAAACAAATTTCTCCTTCAAACGTTAAGGGTTACTTAAACATTAATACATTTAGAGATATTATAAAAGCTTGTTTGTTCGTAAGGTTTCAATTAGAAATAGTATTGAATAGTTTTTAGTGAAAGCTAAAACTTTATTTTTGAAAGAAACAGTTGATTATTTATACACATATCGGGAAGTTGATGCAACTTGCATCAAGGTAAAATACCATTCACACCTATTTAATATTTTAATTAATTATTTGCAGCAACAAAAACTTATATTATATTTTTATTAAATATTTATGTAGAAAAAGCTGCATAAATCTACACATACAAACGCAATTATTGTATTGAGAAGATTTTAAACTACTTTAAAATTAAATACCTCTCCTTTATTATCAATAACGACTGCAGTGTTCCAAATGGTATCCCCATGGTTTGCATCACGTTCCAAAATTGGTGAAATTATCACCATGTTGTATTCTTTGCAAAGCTAAAACAAAGATACTAATATATATAATAATAATAGTAATAATTGATCATTATTAATTAGATATTAATTATTATACCTTTTGCAACATACGGGTTGTTGATCCATCTTCTGCTGATTCAGCATATTCACACCAAGGTAATTTTTCTCGAGTACAAAACCCAAAAGGCATTGCTACAACAAACAGTAATCATCAACACATTCTTATTACAACTTATGGGACAATTCTGCTGTAACAGAGCTCACAAAATAGCGTTGTCATAGCAACCTGTTCTGGCAGTAAAAATTATGATTATATCTATTTATTTGCTGTGTAATCAGGCGTATTTTGTATATAAATAAGCAAGGAAGAATGTTATGATAACAGAATTCTAGATTGCAATTATTATAACATTATCCATTGCTTTTTTATGTAAAATACACCTGATCCCACAGCAAATAGATGGACATTTTCACAGTTTTCACAATCAATGAACAAGCATAAAATAATGTTACCATGACAACGCTAGTTTATGAGCTTAGTTACAGCAGAATTGCCCCATTAATTATTATTAACTATTTTCTATCTATTACTTACTCCATGCTTCCTGCAAGCAAAGCACATTAACATTATTATCATGAGCAGCTTGTATAATATTCCTAGCCTTTCCATACAAAGCCTCTCTCATTTCAGCCACAGGAGTCCACGTGTTGAGTCCTTCGGGTAGTGCAAATTGCACTGCTGCAATTCTAACAACTCTCGAGGCTCTTGTAGATTCATGGCGAGCTAGAGGTACAAAAGTGTGGCCACGGATTTCGAAATTGTTCGTTGTTGCAAATGATAAACTGTCTGGGTGGAGATCCAACGATGAACTAGATAGGAAATGATACTTGGTATTAAATTTTTGTATCAATGGGGTGTATATAATATTGTGTATGATATATACTTAGATCTGAGGAATTAATATAACTAATATATAATGTGTTTTGATTTAATTATTGTAACATAAAACAGTATTTGATTTAACTATTACAAAACAGAAATCATGAATACTGAAAACATACAGTAATAATAATTAAAATAAATGCAATGAGGAGCACCATGATTCAACGATTCCCTTTCCCTCCCTTGTTTATTATTCCCATTACCATTTTATTACCATTAATAAATGTTTTATTCATTCTTGTACATTTTTCTTTCCAAACTTCTGCCTCCATGCTTCCTCATCCTGTGTTCGGCTTTCAAATCACTGAATTTTCTCTTTTGACATTAGTCATCAATCATCTGCATTTTTCTTTTTCCCAATCATTGTAGTCTTTCTATTTTACCTTCCACGACGTCGTGTAGGAAGCTCTTTTTTGTAGAATGGGTCCAATTCAGTTTCCTTTTCTTTACATGACCATGCAGAGTTCTTTCTTCGCCCACTCTTCTCAGGACTTCTCTATTTGTTACCTTTACCTTCTCTATTCGCCCCCAGCATCCCATTTTAAAACTTTCCTGATAGTTTTTGTCATTGACAATATTATTAATTATATTGTCTAGGGTTTTTGTCGCCCTTTCTTACAGTCCATGTCTCTGATCCGTAAAGAGCTATGCTTCAGACATAATACTTTTTACAAACGTATAGGAAATATTTTATTTTAATAAAAACAAGCAACTATAAGCACTAATACGGTTTTATTATATTTTAAGCTTAATTAAACTGATTTCACAAATTATTTTTAATGATTTAAGTGTTTATTTAAGAATATCAAACATAAAATGACATTTGTTTAAATTCAACAGCCATGAAAATCGTACTGATTAAATCTAGGTTGGCATCACTGTTGTTAACTTGACTGATGTGAAGTATGTTTATTTTTCTACGAACTAAAGTTTTGCAAAATAAATTAAATTAAACGCATTTTAAATAATATCACAATTAATAAAATGATAAATAAAATGAAAATATAATTGTTTTAACATTTAACATTTTATTATTTCCAAAAAAATTCATCGAAAAATTCAAAATGTCGGTGTTCAATTTTGACAGTTCATAAACTCAACATCATGCAACACTACTGTCAAAACTTGTTCATAATAAATTCAAATTTATGTTAATTACTAATTTAAACCTTATTAATTAAAGAAAAACTATAATTAATATATCAATAACAACTTACTAATCGTTGCGTCCATAAATAATCTTTTTAACCTCCTTTAGTTCCTCTTCAGGAATATATTTATCCAAAACCTTCTCTACACTCTCAATCTTGGCACTGGACATTTTTAACAATTTTTTATAATATAATTTATAATAAAGTTGTGAAAAATATTACAAAATGTTCCTGCACTTGTGAGACATTCAATTTTTGATATAAAACTTTTTTATCAATGTCGGAAAATAAGTTATTAATAGATTTGTTTACACAACACACACAGCAAGTGATATATGATGCTGAAGTTTATTTGACCTTGTTAAAGAATTTAAGATTGTGTTGTTAAGGACATTGTTATTAATTTACAGATAAAAACAGTTTGAATTGATATTGAGGAAATTAGGAATTTGAATTATTGGAGTTAGTAGATGTAGCTAATTTGTATTTGTAAAATTACAACTACTTTATATGCATAAATTTATTTCAATCAATACTCAAGTATTAACATTTATATCTGTTTTTCAGTATATATAAAACGTGTTTCTGTCAAGCTCCTAAAACACACTTGACTAAAGCTAAACGAGTGCCAATTAATATACTTGTTGATACCTATACTCCAACATAACAATTTTCAATTTACAATTAAGAAACAATTATTATTAGATTTATATTTTATATCGATTTGTGAAGACAGGAAACTGAAAGCATGGAAACAGAAGTTTGGACAGGAAAATGAATAAAAAAGTGATTAATAATAATAAAATGATAATGGAAATAATACTACCATTTACTATTATTATCAATTTGTAATGCAATTATAAAATTAGACTTCGAGTCATCCCTATGCACTCGTATCCTTGTCTACAAATATGATTATTAATATTTAATCATACATTTAGAGGTTGAAGAAAGGGTAGAAGGTATATTATTTTAAAAACCCTTAATTATGCTTTACATATATTTAAGAAAATTTACAACAAAATTATTGCTATATTTAGATTATACACAGAACAGAAATGGAGTGTCAGGGACGCTAGGACACAATATTTCTCGCCCTTTGCATTACATAAAAAACAAACTAACAATGTTATGAAAATATTACAAACTAGGTTTGTATAATAATGGTAAAACTTAAAACTTAAAAAATATGCATACAAGTTAATATATAATATTTATAATAAAACTATTAATTTTAATTAATATTATTATAATAAATAATTTTAATTAATTATTTATTAATATTTATAATATTTATAAATTTATAAATTAATAAAGTTAATAATAATTGTTATATTGCTTAATTTTATTAAAATATATTGTAGCAGCCTATTTTCACAAAATGTAATCTCATCCATGATATTTGCAACATTTTAGATGTTTAGATCTTTTGGTTTTTAATAGAATCCTTTCACTAGTTTATATTCTTTGTCTTTTCCATGTTTTTATTATAAATTTATTTGTATATCAAACAACATTTCTGGCCTTTACTTTAATACAAATTTATTATAGTATTTGCAATAAATTTTGAAATAACACAATCTATAAGACTATTTGGAAAGTTATTTCGTTTTTTATGACAGGGATTTTAATTTTACAGTTTTGAATCCAACATCACACTCAAACCCTATAAATCCGGTCATAATTTTTTAGACAGTAGAACCTTCAATTGAACCCACCTTGATCAGTTTTTTGCCAATAAAGACTAAAATTTATGATTCCAAATATAATAAAAAAAAGTTCGACCAAAACGGCCAAAACATAATTTAATAAAGTGTATGTTTATTATACGAAAATGACTTGTCAAAATGTTTATAGAAACAAAATTACTTTCCGAACTACCCAATAAAATAATATGTACACGAACCAACTACTTAAATCATCACATAATATTTTTTCAAATCCACTAAAATGTCTTATATAATTTGCAGTAAGCAGTACATCAGGATGATATTTCTCCAACTTTTGTTCTAGATCTGCAGTGCTTAGGTTAACTTTTCTTTCATTTCCAAAGAATGAGCAATATGGCTCCTGGTGGATATAGTATCGCGATGTTCTTCACCCAACACTTCCACCTGCTTTGGAAGTAAATTCTGAAGTATATGAAGAGCAGCATCATAATCACCTTTATTGTACAATGCTACACCCTTGACACCAGTAGAATGCATGGTGTAGACATGCTTTTCACCAAGGATTTTTTCTTGTAGTGGGATCAAAACATTACATTCTTGTAGGGCTTCATCATATTTTTTCAAATCTATAAAAATGTCTACAATATCATTTCTAGTGTGCAGACTCTCAGGATGATGATTTTCCAACTTTCTTTCTAGATCTGTAAGCAATAATCTGTGACATTCCAGTGCTTCGACTAACTTTCCTTTTTTTCTCAAAGCATAAGCAATATGGCTCCTGATGGTTATAGTATCGTCATGTACTTCTCCCAACACTTCCATCAGCTTTGGAAGTAAATTTTGAAATAAATGAAGAGCAGCATCATAATCGCCTTTTTCGTACAGTGCAAATCCTTTGAAACAAGTAGTACTCATTGTAATGACATGTTTTTCACCAACAGTTTTTTCTTGAATTGGGATCAAAACATCACATTCTTGCAGAGCTTCTTCATATTTTTTTAAATTTATTAAAATGTCTACAATGTCATTTCTAGTGCGCAGACACTCAGGATGATGGTTTTCCAACTTTCTTTCTAGATCTATAAGCAATAATATGTGACATTTCAGTGCTTTGACTAACTTTCCTTTTTTTCTCAAAGCATAAGCAATATGGCGCCTGGTGGATATAGAATCTACATTTATTTCTCCAAATATTTTCATAAGGTTTGGAAGTAAATTTTGAAGCATATAAAGAGCCGAATCATAATCGCCTATTTTATACAATGCTACACCTCTTAAAGCTGTAGAATGCATAGTGTCGCCATGCTTTTTACCAAGAACTTTTTTTTGAATTGGGATCAAAACATCAAATTCTTTTAGGGCTTCATCATATTGTTCTAAATCTATTAAAACTTCTGCTATATCTTTTCTAGTGCGCAGAGTATCAGGTTCATGTTTTCCTAACTTGCTTTCTAGATCTGCATGCAATCCTCTGTGACATTCAAGTGCTTCGACTAATTTTCCTTTCTTTTGCAAAGCATAAGCAATATGGCGCCTGGTTTCTATAGCATCGTCAACTACTTCATCCAACACTTCCATCTGCTTTGGAAGTAAATTCTTGAGTATATGAAGAGCAGCATCATAATCACCTTTATTGTACAATGCTATACCCTTGACACACGTAGAATGCATGGTGTCGACATGCTTTTCACCAAGAATTGTTTCTTGAAGTGGGATCAAAACATTACATTCTTGTAGGGCTTCATCATATTTTTTTAAATCTATTAAAATGTCTACAATATCTTTTCTAGTGACAAGACTCTCAGGATTATGGATTTCCAATGTTCTTTCTAGATCTGTAAGTAATCCTCTGTGACATTCAAGTGCTTCAACTGACTTTCCTATCATTACGAAAGCATAAGCAATTCGGCGTCTGGTGTCTATAGTATCGTCATCTATTTCTCCCAATACTTCTACCTGCTTTGGAAGTAAATTTTGAAGTACATCAAGTGCTGCATCATAATCGCCTATTTCGTACAATGCTTCACCTCTTAAAGCTGTAGAATGCATAGTGTCATCATGCTTTTCACCAAGAACTGTTTCTTGAAGTGGGATCAAATCATCAAATTCTTGTAGGGCTTCATCATATTTTTCTAATGCTATTAAAATGTCTGCTATATCATTTCTAGTGCGCAGTCTCTCAGGGTTATGTTTCTCCAACTTTCTTTCTAGATCTGCAAGCAATCCTCTGTGACATTCAAGTGCTTCGACTAACTTTCCTTTGTCTTCCAAAGCATAAGCAATACCGCGCTTGATTTGTATCACATTGTCAACTACTTTACCCAACACTTCCATCTGCTTTGCAACATCATAATCATTAGCTTTATTGTACAATGCTACACCCCCGACACCAAGGATTTTTTCTTTAAGCGGGATCAGAGCATTACATTCTTGTAGGGCTTTATCATATTCTTCTAAGTCTATTAAAATGTCTACAATAACATTTCTAGTGCGCAGACTCTCAAAATGATCGTTCCCCAACTTTCTTTCTAGATCTGCAAGCAATCTTCTGTGGCATTCGAGTGCTTCAGTTAACTTTCCTTTCTTTCTTAAAGAATTAGCAATAAAGCGCCTAGTGGATATAGTATTGTCATGTACTTCTCCAAACACTTCCATCTGCTTTGGAAGCACATTCTGAAAAACATCAAGAGCCGCATCATAATTGCCTTTTTCGTCCAATGCTATACCTCTTAAAACTGTAGAACTCATAGTATCATCATGCTTTTCACCAAGAACTGTTTCTTGAAGTGGGATCAAAACATCAAACTCTTGTAGGGCTTCATCATATTTTTCTAATTCTATTAAAACTTCTGCTATATCTTTTCTAGTGCGCAAACTCTCAGGATTATGTTTCTCCAATTTTCTTTCTAGATCTGTAAGCAATCCTCTGTGACATTCAAGTGCTTCGACTAACTTTCCTTTAATTACCAAAGCATAAGCAACATCACGCCTGATTTTTATAGTATCGTCAACTATTTCACCCAACGCTTGTATCTGCCTTGAAAATAAATTCTGAAGTAAATGAGGAGCAGCATCATAATCACTTTTATTGTTCAATGCAATTCCTTTCGAACAACTTGTATGCATTGTGTCAATATATTTTTCACCAAAGATTTTTTCTGGAATTGGGATCAAAGCATCAAATTCTTGCAGAGCTTCTTCATATTTTTCTAAACACAATAAAATGTCTGCAATATCATTTTTAGTACGCAGAATCTCAGGATGATGTTTCTCCAACTTTCTTTCTAGATCTGCAAGCAATCCTCTGTGACATTCAAGTGCTTCGACTGACTTTCCTTTATTTACCAAAACATAAGCAATATGGCGCCTGGTGTCTATAGTACGCTCATGTACTTCACCCAACACTTCCATCTGCTTTGGAAGTAAATTCTGAAGTAAATGAAGTGCAGCATCATAATCGCCTTTTTCGTACAATGCATTTTCTTTCGAACAAATAGTATACATGATATCGATATGTTTTTCGCCAAGGATTTTTTCTTCAATTGGGATCAAAACATCAAATTCTTGCAGAGCTTCTTCATATTTTTCTAAATTCATTAAAATCTTTACAATATCTCTTCTAGTGACCAGGCTCTCAGGATGATGGATT